TGACTAAATGACTAAATACTTTTTTGCCCCACTGTGTGTATATATATATATATATATATATATATATATATATATATACAGAACATTACCAAAATTAAGCTTAATTGCTTTTAAATACCTTGCTACTATATCTCTTGAGAATATGAGCTAGTTTATTATACATGTATAAGGGAGCGCTGAACAGTACATTAGAAATGTTAGCAACATGATTAAAACTCCAGAAAATCTCCAGGTAGTTTTTGGCTGTCTGAGCCTGTCATAAATCCTTGAGCAGGAGTAGCTAGATGCTGATTCCATCTGCTCTGTTGTAGCAGAGCTGAGTGTTCATGGGTAATGTGAGATTTCTGATACCTGTCACTTGTCATCTAGAGGAGTCACAGAATATTAAAGTTCCCTCTTTCATTTGTGTCTCTGTCCCAATGTCTCTCTGCATTTTGAGTGTTAGTGTAACCTAGAGTTCCCCATCTCGGGTTTCCCTTTTAGTCGGCCATCTCAAAAATTTTTGAGTGAGTAAATGTGTGCTCTCTTTCTAGTGTGGGCGAGAGACATGCAGCCAGATCAAGCAGTGCGGAGTAGGCGGTTTTAGGTTATTAAAATCAAAAACAGAGTAAATACTTGCGAAAGGACACTGTGCTGTTATGCAGTGATGGGAAAGTCAGGGATTTTACGGTTGGTTTCTAGTAGACGTTCCTACTCTACTGCTGTGTCTGACTCTATCAGATGACAGGTCACTGTCTGTCCTCCTTTTGGTAGTCGCCCCATTGCTACTTATTTGCATAAAGTTGAACTCTTTATCAACCGTTTTGAATTATCAAACTATTTATCTTTCTCAAAATGCCAGAAATCAGCCTTCTGAAGGGCTCATCCCAATATGCCCTAATCCAGGGGTTTCCAGTTCCAGTCCTGGCGCCTCCTCACTCTGCACATCTTTTATGCCTCTCTTTTATCTGACAGGCTCAGTTGAAGCGAGTATTCTGTTTGAGCACAAGTGTGCTGTGAAGTGGACTTCAAAGGGTATTCCACCTTCTTAGGGGAGATTCCAAGCTGAAGCTGGTGTGTTTGTATGCGACTGTTCAGGGGTGTAAAATTATTGAGACATGACAGTTACAAGTCAACTATAAGGCTTTTGCATTTGACAGATCCGATTATAATTGATATGTTTGATGATGTTGCAGGGTGTTGCGAATGAACACATTTTGTCAAATGAAGTGAACTTCAGCAGATATCCCATTCTCAGGGAGTAAGGAGCTGTGAACACTGTCAATTGGGAGTTCATGAAGCTCTCTTCTAACAAGCTGATGACCTGAATCAGGTGTGTAATACCAGGTTCACACTTCACGATTTTCAAAGTCGTTGGATTGCTGAGCTGTTCTTACACTGCACAATTGTCTGGGGTACCATCAGGATGCGAATTATGGGGGGGGGGGGGGGTTTGGGGGGTCTGACCCCCCTAATGAAGACTTGATCCCCCCTGATGGATGTCAAAACTAGATGTAGGGGGGTCGGATAGAAAGTAGGCTAGGCTATGCATAATATGGAGATTTACTTGTAAATATTAATATGTATTTCTATAGCTCTGACTGATTTTAAAAATGTAATTTTGGCTGCCCCTGAAATGGGTCGTATTAACATTACCTGAGCGGTTAAAGAATACGCTACAGCGCTCATTCAAAGACGTGCATTTATTGCTTGGACGGAGCAAGAACACCTGAAATGCATGTGCAGATTCAGTTGAGAGATCAAGTTTACCCTTGTCAACTTAATGCTGTTGAACTGAATTTACGGAGAAAACTATTTTCTAAAATAACCACAACATTAACAACAACGCTAAAATAAAAGCGTGTGGTAATATTAGTCAGATGCGCATGAAAATTACATGTGTTACTACAAACACTGCGTGTTTTATTTCAAAATCATCATTGGCGTTTAGAAAGACAAAAATAGGTTGCATAAAAGTTTTTTTTACCTACAGTAAAAATGAAGATAAGGTGTGATTAATTACATTTTAGACACATTGTCAGTAATTTCGCCAACAAAAATAAGGAGAACTGTTGTGCGTCTCTGATTAAAACACAGAATCCAAGTATTTAAACGAATTGACTGAATCAATGATTCAGTGAGCCATTCATAAAGGCAGTCACTTGCTTCGTTTCTGAATGAATCAGCCATTTGAACGAATCGATTGAATGAATGACTGAATCATTCACTTATTAAGACAGGGATTTGTCACCACCTACTGGCGCTTTTAGTTTTATATTTAGAGTATTGTTTCTTTTTAAAAATAATTTTATATTTCACTATTTAAATATGAATCCAGCATGTTCTGCGTGTCTCTGTGTATGTAAATGGCACAGACGCGTGGTTTTGTTTTCTACACAAAGTGTGCGACGCTCGCGGTAATTTCAGCTTCTGTCGTATCACTACTTGAGGACATAAATACATGAACAACATCTCCAGAACTGCTCTGACTCCCTCTAAGAGTCGCTTCATGAGCATTTGACAGTTTTGGAGTAAAACTATCTTGATATAATTTACATAGACCTACAGAACCAAGTTCCTCATGGCAACCCGTCAAAATATAAGTTCGGGTTAGCTTAAAGAAATCACTGTGGTGCAGTATGATGTACATAATACTACTTAGGGATGAAAGTTTTCTGTCGCTACGATGGATTTCCGTCAATTGGACAACATGAGGGGAAAAGAAACATGTAGCACATTGTTGTTGTTCTGCCGGTGTTCTGACGATTTGTGCTACCCTGTCAGATTTTGCTACCTCCCATTAAAACAGATGGTAGCATAATTTGATAGCGAAAAGTGCTACCTATCAGATTTTGCTTCCAGCATAATATTAATAAGGTGTGAGGCTTTATTAACATGTACACCTACCCCACCCCTAAACCTCCCCCTACAGTAGGATAAATACAGTGTTTTTAGCATAATCTGATAGGTAGCA